GGGGAGGGGCTCATTCACAGTCAAAGACAAAATGTCCTTTTGGCTGAGCGGGGAAATGACGTCATCGGGGGCTCAGCCAATGGCGCGCGCCGGGGGTCCGCGCGCGCCCGTCCCCGCGTGGGGGGGGGCCGAGTGGAGGGTGGGGGGGGCGATGGGCACCTGCGGGAGGGGCGATGGGGGGGGCCCCGGGATCCAGCACAAGGTGACCCCGGGCCGGGCCACCCCTCCCCGGGGGCCCGAAATAGCCCCGGGAGGGGCAGGGGGGGCGAGGGGCCCCCGCGGGGAGGGGGCGGCTGGGAGAGGCACCAGTGGGGGGACACGAGTGGGGACAAGTGGGCAAGAGGGCAGGGGGACACCCGGGCAGGGACACACCTCGGGACAAGAGGGGTGCTAGGGGACACCCAGGATGTGGGCACACGTGGGGACACCCAGGGCACGGGGGACGTGTGGGGCACAAGGGTGGTGGGGGACACCCGGGGTACGGGAATGCACAGGACACAGGGACACACAGGGACACCCAGGGACAGACGTTTGGGGACATGTGAGGTGGATGAGGACACAGTGGGCACGGGGACACACAGGGCACAGGGGCACACAGAGGGCATGGACACACACACGACCATGCATGGACACAAGGGGCACAGAGACACACGGGGCATGTGGACACAAGGGACACCCAAGTGACAGACACAATCACCACCACGCAGGGCCATGGCAGGACATATGACATGGCAACACAAGGGACACAGTGGGCACAGAGCCACAAAGGACACCAGGGCACGGACACATCCGTGCCCATGCGTGGGGACACACTGGGCACGGGGACACAGCGGGCACAGTGACACCCAGGGCATGGACACACACATGGCCATGCAGGGACACACGGGGCCACACCAGGCACGGGGTCACTGGGCACAGGGAAACGTGGGGCACGGGGGTGCAGCGGGCATGGGGACACTTGGGCACACGCACGGCACTAGGACACTCTGGGCAGGTCCAGCCCGGGGGCCACAGGGGGACACGCCAGGCACGGTGCCACGCGGGGCGGGGGCTCACCGGGTGTCCTCTGGCTCCGACAGCGGGTCCAGGGTGCTGGGCTTCTGTTCCATTCACCGCAATTCCATCAAGGAGCGCTCAGCACCGACCGGGACGGGGTGGGGGGGCTCCGGCGCCACGCGGGGGCCACGGTGGGGGGGGCCACGGCGGGGGGGCCACGGCGGGGGCTACGCCGCGCTCCCCATGGTGCCCCTCAGTGCTCAGCACCGCGCAGCATCCCGGGCTGCACCCTGCGGGACACGCGGGTCAGCCCCCACCCCCGGGAGCGGGGAGGGGGGCACTAATGGGGGACCCCAGGGAGGTGAGGAGGAGCAGGCCAGGGGGACGCAAGAGGGGACCCCTGGGGAGGGGGGTGCAGCCCTGGGGGACCCCTCCAGGAGCTGCTGCTGCCGGGGAGGGCTGGGTAGGAGAGTGCAAGAACGCGTGGAGTGTGCAAGGACACCAAAGCCCGGGCGAGAGCAGGAGGGACGTGCAAGGACACGTGGAAGGAGCGACGTGCAGGGTGTGTGCAACAGCACCGGGGCTGGGCCAGAGTGCACAGGGGGGAGAGAACGTGCCCAGGGATGTGAAAACGTGCACGGGTGTGCAAGGCTGGGAGAGCATTAAGGGTGTGCAAGAGCGTGCAGGGGTGTGCAAGGCTGGGAGAGGCATTAGGGGAGTGCAGGGCTGTGTGAGAGCACGCAGGCCGTGTGAGAACATGCACAGGTGTGTGAGAGTGTGCCCAGGTGTGCAGGGCTGAGAGCCCGGGGGGAAGCAAAAACACGCCTGGGGGTGGCAGTGGGTGCTGACCCCACCTGCAGGGCAGGGCTGGGAGGCCCCCCCAAAAGGTAGGGAGAGCCCGTTGGGGTGGGAGTGCATAGGACAGCCCCCCCCCCCCTGCCAGGGAAGCCCCCCCTGGACACTGTGCTTGGGGGCCAGGCTGAGCCCTGACAGATTCACCACATGTGTGGACACCCCTGAAGCTGGGAGCGGGGGGTCACTTATGGGAGGGGTGACTTACGGGGTGGGGGGTGCCGGGGGTCCAGGCAATCCCTCCTCTGTGAGGTCTCCTGTGACAAAGACACGGCGGGGGAAAGGGGGGTGTCAGGGGCGTGGGCAGCACCGGTGGGCACCCACTGCCACCCCCCGAACCCCCTATGTCGGAGAAACAGAGGCAAGACCCCAGCACACCCCCCTTCCCTTCACGCCCCCCCCATTCCACATCCGATGGATACCCAGCACCCACCCAACACCCACCCAGCACCCCAGTGGGGCCGGGGGGGCCCTGCTCGCAAGCCCCCCACCGTGACCTCCCGGTGACCCTCCCGGCGTGGGGGCTGTGGGGGGCGCGGGGGGCCCCCTGCCCGCGCCGGGGGGGGGGGCCGGGGGGGCCGCGGCGGGCGCTGTGCCCAGCCCCGGGCTCCTCCGCTCCGCGCGGGGACAGCAGAAAGTAGGTCACGTTTGTCTTGGCCGCCGCAGAAATTCCTCCGGCGGATTTAAAACGCAGCGGACGGGGCTGGGGGCCCCCACGACACCCCCACGCCACGGGGCGCCCCGGCTGGCCCCCCCCCACTTCAACCAGGGACACCCCAGAGCAGCGAGGGATGGGGGGGGGGGCGAGGGGTGCGGCACCCAGGGGTGCACAGGGCACCCCGCGTCGCTGCGGCACATGAGGGGTTCGCACCGGGGGTCCCCCAGACCCCCTGAGGAGGGGGCGTCTCCTGCACCAGCTTCCACGGGGAAACTGAGGCACGGCAGCGCACCCACCACCCTGGGGCGCGCTCCCCCTCTGGGGGGCTCGTAGGGCGGGGGGGGCCGCTGGGCGACCCTCTCCGCAGCCCCAGGCCGGGTTTGGGGCCAGCGGTACCTATAGAGCCGGGGGCTGCAGCAAATGTTTGTTCCATATGGGAACGGCGCGCAGAGAACTTCCAAGTATAGGCACTGGCAGGGATCCAGGGCTGCGCGGCCCCCGCCGGGCACCAGCCCCCCCGCCGCCCCCCGCCCCCCTCTCCTGGGACCCCGTGCACGGGCAGAGCCCCGACACGCTCGGTGCATGTGTGGGGCTGGGGGGGCGTCGACACCCTGGTGAAACTGCCATGGGGTGGGATCTGGGGTGTCCCCAAAGCTGGGTGGGCTCAGCTGCCCCTGCCTCAGTTTCCCCACCGGTGTGGCCTGGTAGGCCCAGCCCCAAATGAGAGGGCTAAAGGGCTAAAGAGGGAGGGCTGTGGCGCCAAGTTGGGGTTCACCGCCCCGGCGAGATTCCAGCAGCCCTCTGACACCCCCAGGATCACCGGCACCCCCGGGATCACCCAGCGGAGCCTGCGGTGCCACTCCAGGAACTGTCACTCGAGGAATCCCGGGCGCGCTGGGGCGGCCCAGACAGACAGACAGACAGGGGAGGCGGCCCTACTCCTCCTCCTCTTCCTCCTCCTCCTCCTCCAGCAGGACACGTGTGATGAGCACAGTCAGGTCTCAGCCCACCCTGCGCCGCCGGCACCCAACCTGTGCGTCCCACCTGCAGGACCAGGTGCAGGGTGGGAGGGGGTGGCAGCCGGCGGGAGCCCCCCCTGCACCCCCCCAGCCCAGCCCCACGCCCAGGGGAGCGTTTCTGCTGAGTCGGGTGGTTGCAGGCGGCGGAAAACAACCCGGGGGCAAAGTCCGGGGCTGGGCCGGTGGCGGCTCGCCCCACCGGGGGCACCCAGCACCCTGGTCCCCAGGGACCCCGCCCCTGGGGGTCTCCAGAATGGGGAACCCACTCCAAGGGACACCCCTCAATGAATGTACCAGCTGCCTCGGTGTGGCTGGATGCAGGTGACGGGCACCGGAGTCACCCCAGGGGGCCACAGCCGTGTCCCTGCCCCCCGGGACAGATGGGCTCCGGGGGTCCCAGCACCCCCCCGCCCAGCTGCAAGCCGGGTCAGGGAGGTGAGGGCCTAAGCGCTTTAGCCACGGTGCCAATTAGTGTGATTAGCGCGGGCTGGGGGCAGGGCGCCACGGGCAGACCCGCAGCCACCGGCCAGCGATGCCCGGCCACGGCCGCAGTGTCACCGCGGGCACCGGGGCAGTGTCACCGCGGGTGCTGCAGCGTCACGGTGGGCACCGGGGCAGCACCAGGGCGAGCACCAGGGTGGCGCAGCTCTGCCCCTGCCCGGGGATCCCTGGCTGCAGTGCCTGGCAGGACAGCGCCGTGGGAGCGTGGCCAGGCCCAGGGCACCTGCCATGGCACGGCTGGCAGCACCCGGCACGCGCCGGTTCCCGTGTGCGCGGCCGTGCCAGGTGCCACACGCGTGTCTGCGCCCGGCGCCGTGTGCTCACCCCACACCTGTGTCAGTGCAGGGCACACCATCCCCGGTGCCACGCGGTGCCCGGTGCCGTGGGCACGTGTGGCAGCGGGGACAGCGAGCTGAGCTGTGCCGTGTTGTGCCGTGCAGTGCCGGGAGGCTGCAGGAATCCCAGGCATGCGCAGCAGCTGGGCAGCCCCAGCGAGGGGGATGCCACGGGCCTGACATCAGGGCAGCCCACCCAGTGCCGTGCCACGGGGGCCTTGCAAGGTGCCCCCTCCCCACACAGGCAGGGGCTGGGTCACGCTGTGGCACAGGAAGGCTGATCTGGGTGCGTGTCCTCCCCGTGGCTCGCTGGCCCACAGAGTGTGGGCTGGCGGCTGCAGGGACAGTGACCTGCTCTGGCACTGAGGGGCACCCATGTTGTGGCCTCGTGCCTCCGACGTGCCCTATGTCCGACGGGTCCTTCATCACCGCTGCAAGGACCTGCATTGCGACCCCCACCTGGCCCTGCAGCCCCTACGAACCCCACGGGACTCCCGGTAACTCTACGTCCAACCCAGGCCACACTGGCCGCTCCTTCCGTGTCCGGCCATGCCTCTGTTCCCCCATCCCACCGGAGCTGCCTGGCAAAGGAACAGCCGTGGTGCCACATCTCCGTCAACGTGCTCCTCGTGCCAGCACGCAGGACAAGGCCCGTCCGTCCCTGTGTCACTGCTCCTCCAGGCCACGGGGGTCACCCGGTGGGACCCCCGGGATCCTGGTGTGTGCTGAGCGTGCCCGGTGTCAGCCTCAGGGTGGCTGCGGTCCCCGAACCCCGCGGGGTGCCCCTGACCCCGGGAGGTGTGCCGGGACGCCGGGAGCTATTCTCAGCCCTTGGCACGGGTTGGGACGTTTCTAAATCGGGGGCTCCGATTCACGTGCACCAGGATGGGGCTTGGGGGGGGCCCTGCTTGAAAGGGGGAGGCAGCCAACACGAGGTCCCCGGGGCGGGCACTGATGTGGGGACACAAGAATGGGCACTGGGACGTGGGAACGGGCACTGGGACACGGCACCAAGACCGCCCAGGGGTGCGTGACCCCGCCGAGAAGGGGAACACGGGGGACGGTCCCCAGTGCCCCCTCAGCCACCCGACCCTGCCCGAGGGTCTGCAGCGCTGGGGACACCCTGAACGGCACCACCCTGGGGGGGCCCCGCTGCGCCCCCCGCCCGCATCCAGTCTGTGCAGGACCCTGGGCGCGCAGCCCGCGCCTGCCTTGCCTTTACCACATCCCCCCTGCTCCTCCTCCTCCTCCTCCTCACTCCCCCCAGCCCGGAGGGGGACCCAGGCGTCCGGCCCCGCCCCCGCGCACCGGCGGCTGCGCGCGGTCCGGCGGGGCCGGGGGGCCGCGGGATGGGACCCCCGGGCGGCCCCGCCGCCGCTCCGATCTCCGCTGCCCCGGGAATGCGCGCGCGGAGCGGAGCGGGAGGGGGGGTCCCGCTTCCTGCAGCCACCGCCCCCTGGGAGGGGTCTGGGGGTGCGCCCGCAGCAGCCCCCCCCCCCTCCGCTGCGCAGGGTGCGGGACCCCGGGCGTGCACGGCCCGTGCTCCCCCCTCCCGGACCCCGCCCGCGGGGCAGCCCCGCGAAGGTCACGGCCGCGGGCGGGTGCGGGGAGTCAGGAGGGACCCCCACGCGAGAAGCCCCCGCCGCCGGCCCGCGGGGTGCGGGGCCCGCACCATTGTGGGGGGCACACGCAGCTGCACGGCACCGCCGGGGGGAGGGGGGGACGCACCGCGCCCCCACCCTGCGCCAAGACCCCCGGGCGGGCGAGCCCCCCCAAACCGGTTCCACCGGGGCTTGCCCGCGCCCCACGGCGGCCCCAGCCCCCACCCCGCAGTCCCGGCGGAGCCGCGGGGGTCCCCGGTGCCGTCGGAGGTCAGGCGGGGTGAGGCGCAGCCCGGCGTCCCGGTGCCGCTCCCGGTGCCG